TCAAGCTGTGAAATGATATAGACTGACCATGGGTTTGTATTTGAGCAATCATTCAAAGTTGCTTGCTATGAAAATCCTTCTCTTACGATTGGAATATTCTCATATCATGAAGGTTCTGGCTTTATAATGCACCATTTCACCTACTCTGACATTTAAAGTGATGCACATTTCATATCCTTAAATTGACAGTTTCTAGAAATTTCTTGATTTCATTTTAAGTGTGTCAGTTTGGTGATAAGAAATAGAAGGTATTCACCGGCCATGTAATGACATAGACACCTGTATTACAGTACAACATCATCATTATAGGCAGATAAACCATCTATAAATCAGGTATATTGGAGTTTCGTACATAGTAGGAGACTTCACTCCTCCAACCAACAGAAGCAGATATGAAAATGATCTGTCCTTTCTCTGAACTTGCACAACAAAAGCTTTGAAGAAATAATTTCAGTTCTTCTTCACATATATGCAACAGGATACATACATGTAATCTATTCTGAAAAAACCCTGATTTTCCTTGGCTTTATAATAGAAACAAATTATATGATGAGTAAAATACAAATCTGTCTGGCAATGAACTAAGTTACATCCATGTGCATACAAATGTAAATTCATTCTGAAGTAACATGAGGAATAAAAACCTTCAGATTGACAACAATTGGTACTTCTTGTATACATTCTGATTTTTGTTCTTTTTAGTTCATATAAGATTGACATCAATCTGACCAGACAGATTGTTCTAGTTTCATAAGGAGAGCTGCCAGCAGTCTCCACAGGAGAGTAAGAAGAAAAGTGGTTCCATTCCAAGGTGATCGCCTGGCAGGAAACTGTGCTGAGCACTGGACATGAATGACTGCTCATGGGTTGCATCCAGACTCAGATGAAATATTGACTATCTTGAGGCATTCTACATGCTTGACTGGTCTTATGAATAAATGTTAGAAAACTTATAGATTGAAAGACTAAATGATAACAAAAGAAATGCCCTTTATTAAAGGTCACCTTTTAAGTTCATCTTCATGTTATGGCTCAACATTTAGAGATAGAGATCATGCTTACATCATTGCCTCATTTGTTTGCTAAGTCCTGTAAAACCAACAAGACAAGTGCTGCATCTTCTATAGGCCCCCACCCTAAATTCAGTACCGTATACGAAATGGATGGAATTATCTGTGAAATATCACAATGAAAACAACTAGATGGAACTTCGACTGCGCGCAGTCGAAATGATGCCTCCGTCATAGAGCAATTTTACAAACCAAAACAGAAGAAATTGTTCAAATTCAAGTTCAATTGTAATCCATTAACAGGTTCTCAGAATATCGTGATTACAAGCAATTTCTCATATACATATATGACCCTTTGATCTTTGACCACATGACCCTAACATCTACTCAGTTCATTGGCTCTGCAAGATGTCCCGAGTTAAATAGTAATCCATCTGTCAGTTCTAATGAGAATGCGTTCACAAGCTATTTTTGCATACATAATGAGCCCATGACCTTTGACCTTTGACCTCATGACCCAAGAATCTACTCAGTTCATTGGCTCTGCAAGATACATACATGATCTAAGTTTGGGAGGAATCCATCAATCTGTTCTAATGATAATGCGATCACAAGCTATTTTTGCATGCATAATGAGCCGCATGACCTTTGACCTTGACCTCATGACCCCAAAATCTAATCAGTTCATCGTCTCTGCAAGATACATACATGACCTAAGTTTGGCACAAATCCATCAATCGGTTCTTCAGATAACGCGATCACGAGCTGTTTTTGCATACATAATGAGCCGTGACCTTTGACCTTTGACCTCGTGACCCCAAAATCTAATCAGTTCATCGGCTCTGCAAGATACATACATGACCAAAGTTTGGCAGGAATCCATCAATCGGTTCTTCAGATAACGCGATCACGAGAACGGGACGTACGTACGGACGGACGGACAACCCGAAAACATAATGCCTCCGGCTACTTCGTAACGGAGGCATAAAAAGCCTATATATTGTGGTTCTTGAGGAATCGCAATAGCAAGGCTAAAACTTGTAATATCAGAAATTGGCCTCTGTGACCATTAACCTTTGAACCCAAAATCTGATCAGATCATCTTCCTACAGTATGTTGATACAAACCGGTACTATCACCAAGTTTGAGCCCCATATCTATAGTGGTTCTTGAGATATCGCAATTTTTAACAAGGCTTTACCTAGAATTTCAAAAACTGCCCTGTGACCTTTGACCTATTTAGTATTAACCCAAAATCTGATCACATTGTTTTTTTTTAATGATAATACTTAATTATCACAAAGTTTGAGCCTTATATCTCTAGTGATTCTTAAGATATCGCACTTAAGATAACGAGAAAGCATCATTGACCTACAGATAACCCGATAACATAATGCTTCCTGCACCACCACCTGCATTCACTAAAATTTCTTGACTTGATAAAGGGGGAACTTAAAAATCTACTAGATTTTCTGGTCTAACAGTAAAAGCCGCGCCACCTTCAACAGTTGATATGTTTTCGTGGCTAATCAACTAGTCAGTCCAAAACAATTAAGCTATATTAGCTTCTCATAATCTTCTCCCTCTTCAAGATCATCCGCAACATCCTCATGTCGTATAGGCTCTATATTCCCCAGGTACCAAGCTAAGGAGAGATAAACTGTTATAAGAAGCGTGACACCACTCTGACCCAGTAATCACCAGAGTGTCACCGTCTTAATGAATTCCTGCAGTGCACGACCATACTGTCATTGCTAATTAGACGAGATCTTCAGTCAACGCTGATCAGCCAATTAGTATGTCTATAGCATATAGGGCCAATGGTCACAGATGGCTGAAATTAGCAACCATATACTTGTATCACATGACCATACAGCCAACCAGCTGATGGAGATTGAGTTTGATGTTGTACCCTGCCTGCCAGGTTGAATCAATTTAATCTACTGCTTTAATTATTATCATTATCATTTTATTTGGCATCACCTGTTTCTAAGAAGGGGAAAAGTGACTCTACATCATGGCCCTGGGGTCTGCCATCTACCCTCCTGGCTTTCAGTGTAACTGATTGGGATATGCAGGTGTATCTCAATGTTATAATGGGGGTTCTCCCCTTCTCTCTCTCTCTCTCTCTCTCTCTCTCTCTCTCTCTCTCTCTTAAAAAAAAAAAACAAAAAAACATTTAAGTTCTAAACATGCATGAGTTGGGGATGGGGGGGGGGGGTCTAATCAAACAAGGCTACTATAGCTATTTGAAACTTGTAAAGTGGCCTTTATAGACAGGTAGCAGCTACGACAGGTTTGACTATATGTGAAAAAAGTAATTTATCTCAATTAATGTTTCTATGAATGTGTCATATCAAAAGCTTACATCTAAAAAGTATTCAACAAAGGTGCTAATTCAACCAGTCCACCTTTAATTCTTGAGCTAGGTAAAACACAAAAAACATCAAACTAACAAGGAGTATGAATCATTTCGTTGATGTCTGTAGATCATCATCAGTCAGTACAGACCTTATTACACATTGCTTTAATGCAGCTAGGTAACGTTCGGTAATCAGAATAACCTTGGTAATAATTGCTAACTAAATATAGCATGTGATTAACATTTAATTTTTATCCCACATGGCACAGAATCCAACTAGGCATAACATTTCAGGTAACATTAATGTTATTAAATTAAATTGCTGACTAAACAGTATCCAGGCAGTAAGAGCAGTACTTTAGATGCTGCTTGTAACTATCGGCTTGCATGGTGATGTAGATATACAGTAGGCTTGCGGATGCACCATGTGAGATAGGGGGAGGATAGTACAGTACTGTACACAATCTACAATTTAATTATTTATCCACCCAAATAAAATTTGCAGATATTTTAGTTTCTTATATCTTCTGAACTACTATTAAAAGCTACACAGGGGATGCTCTTTTATTTATAGAGGACTTGTAGCAATACACTCTCCATATCATAATTGAGAAGTGCCCCAAGGGTGAAGGCAGAAATTAGTGATATTTGTGTACACCAAGAAACATAAGAGTCACAATCGCCTTTCCAAACTGCCAATTTGAGATTTGCATACATGATCTCATATTTAAAATGTTCATAACTTTCTAATAATTTGTTCAATTCATTTCAAAACTTTCGCTATTCTGTACCTGATTTTTGTGCTCTCATTCAAAGAATTTATTACAAGGGTTGGATTGCCCTACCGTATATAAATCCTGACCTGGCGAGACCTAGTTTCCAAGGACTTAAATATGTATTTTACATGTAGATACCTCTTTAGAAATTTCCACAAGATCCACTAACCTTTTAGTGTACATGTAGATGAACTCAATAAATTAACCATCCTGTTATCATATCAGATGATAGAGCAGAAAACCCCACTGGTTTCTATGACGATGTCGAGATAATTACTCAGATTCCAAGCATGAAGAATTCAATCTGACAAGGTGTGGTTTAGCCATCTCTTTTATGCATCACTTGTTTTTCCAAAAATCAGCCTTCACTTCTTGAGCAATGCTGTGATACTTTAAATTGAAACTTAATTGAGAGACTCTGCACTTTTCACAGAAAAAACTATGACAACAAATGAAATAAACTATAAATTTAATCTAACCAAATCTCTAGTCACTCAATCTCCTTATTTTCCTAAATTCAGTGGAATGAAAAAACTATTTAATTTCCCTCACTGCAGAGAAATGATACATGTAGTTGCTTGTTGTTGGCTATTATATTGGGATAATTGTTTATGATTTTGCTTACATGCTTTAATACATCCATAACAATACATTACCTACTGCAACTGTATATACATAAGAAGTGAGAAAGAAAAAAAAATAACTCCCCACCTCCCTTACTAATGAAATGGAATAACAAGATTAAAAGTCTTCAATTACATATCATAGACAAAGGCATGGAAAGATAATCATTACAAGAAATGAAATAACATAGATTGAAAATAATGAATTAAATCTTGTTTTTCTTTGAAGGTTTGTCTTCAAACACTGGTTCATCAACATGGACATCACTTCACTACTGACAGCTGTTCTCACACTGAGTCTGGTACCACTGACCATATCAACAACTCAACCTCCAACAGATGTCCCTACAACCCTCTCATCAACATATGCTGCAACAGGGTTTCCCCAAGGACCAGAGACTACGGTAGGTGAGCCAGATGTGGAGCTTATCACAGAAGAACAAGAGCTACTGAACAACCCTCAAGAACAAACAAACCACCAACAAGAGCAACAGAATCATCATCAAGAGCATCAGAAGCAACAGACGCAGCAGCAGGAGCAGCAGCAGTCAATGCATCAAGAAATGCTCAATCAGCAGCAGGCCTGTGGTAGAGGCTGCTGTGGCTTCCCAGGAATGCCTGGGATACCAGGTATACCAGGACACAATGGCTTACCAGGAAACCCTGGTGTCCAAGGAGAACCTGGCATGAAAGGAGACGGTGGGACATGGGGGCAGCAGGGATTGGCAGGACGACGTGGATCCAAGGGCCCGAAGGGTTCTAGAGGACCTCAAGGCCCACCAGGAATGAAAGGAGAAAAGGGAGATTTAGGAGGATTAAAGGGCGATTCAGGAGAGAGAGGTATACCAGGACAGTCAGGTATGAAAGGACTACGTGGGCCTAGAGGTCTTCCAGGTATCCAAGGACCAGCCAATCATGCGCTTCCTCAAGAACTTCGTGTTGCTTTCACTGTAATCAATGCAACCCGCTTCCCAACACCTAACACACCTATTGTCTTCCAAACAATAGTCAGTAATTCTGGTGAAGGCTATGATCAAGACACTGGCAAATTCACATGCAAGGCAGCAGGACTCTATGCGTTTACCTTCCAGTTTTTTGGTGGATATCATAATTTTCGTGCGGAAAAGGCCAGTCTTGTCAAAAATTATGAAATTGCTTTGACAGCGATGTCTACAGTGGACTCCAGACTTGGAAACTTTGCAATTCTTGATTTAGTGGAAGATGATGATGTTTGGGTGGAAATCACAGAAAATAGAGACTTTGGACCATCCAACTATAATTCTTTCACAGGATTTCGCCTCTACTGAAATGTATTCATTCTTTGACTCTACAATTACACAAAGCACAAATAAGTATTTTAATCATTCTTTTTCTCTGATATCAAGCATTCAACCTTGTGCTTCTACAGTATGGCAATATAATGATTGTTTCTTCTTTACCTCACATTTAAATCATCTTAGGATACAAATTCAGTCATGCAAGTAAAATAAGTTCATAGATTCAAGTAGGGGTGATTTCAAGAGGTGTAGTCATGATTAGGGTTGTTTTGCTGTTGTGTTTCTTGAAAGTATATCTAGGAGTGTACAAAAAGATTTAATACAATTTTTACAATTTTAAGTTTGTGAGTATTTTGAGTTAAATGACTAATTGCGCACACTGCTAAGTATTTTTATGCTCATGTTTTGTATGATGTTGCTACAGTTATGAAAACACATTTCCAACTTTCAATCTCTAAAATTTCAAAATCTGTGCTACCTCTATGTTTCCTTGGCTGAAGCTCATGAGACAATCAATCAATGTCCATCTTGCAATCTTTCTCTCAGAGAAGTTGACCCACAAGAATGGCACACCATCCACGTGGGTCATCAATCTCTTAGGACATTGGTGAACTGGGCTAAAGCCATATCAGATTCTGCAATACATGTTTGCTACATTGTAGATCAATGTTGAAGTTATCTTTAAAATATTACTCTTGAATAAACTGTGAATGTCAAATAAATGTAACATATTTCATTTTTAATTTTTCACATTATTTATAAATTCATGTATTTAAGGTTTTTATACACCAAACATGTAAATAATGTCCGTCTCTATAGGGTTCACATTTAGAATCTTTAGTTGTAAATCAGGGAAAAAATGAAAATCAAATAAACAGCAGATATCTATATATCAAATCATGTTCTGATAAAATGGCAAAAAACTAAAAGCTTCCAAAAGTTGACAGATTAAGTCATGGAATAAAAAAAAGTTCCCATCACACTGAAAAACTAACTAGAAATATGGGCAGACAAAATAATGTTTATTTTGATGTTGTTTTTTTTTTTATTAAATTCTATTTTAATCATTTATACTTTTAAATATAAAACTGTAAATATTCTTAATAAAGGTTAAAATCAACACAATAAAATATCATACTATGACTTCTCTTGCCATTTTTTCTTTTTCCAAAGCATATTTTGTTAAAAATCATTATATAACTTTTCCTTGTTTCACTCATTCACTTCTTTCATTTTGTTAGTGTTATAAAACTACTATCACAATGTTAAATCTCTCTTCAATAAACAATTGATAACAAATAAATTCATCTGGATATCATGTTTTGATTGAAATCTGAGTCCCCATTTGAAAACTGAGTGGCTTAAAATGATTTTCAATTATTCTCATGAGGTAGAGGGAGGTAGAGGGAAGTAGAATGAAATATAAATCAAGTGGTGGTGAGATAGAGATAGAGAGAGAGAGAGAGAGCGAGAGAGAGATAAAAATAAAGAGAGAGGTAAAGATAAAGAGAGAGAAAGAGAGGGAGAGAAAGGGAAAGAGAGAAAGTGGGAGGGAGGGAGGGAAGGGAGATAGAGAGATGGGGAGAGAAAGAGAGAGAGAGAGAGAGAGAAAGGGGGGAGGGAGGGAGAAAGAGAGAGATGGGGAGAGAAAAAAAAGAGAGAGAGAGAGAGAGAGAGAGAGATCAAGACCGAGACAGAGAGGGGGAGGGAGAGAGAGAGGGGGGGGGGGGGTAGAGAAAGAGATATAGAGTGTGAGAGAGTGGGAGGGAGGGAGAGAGAGGGGGGGTAGAGAAAGAGATATAGAGTGGGAGGGAGGGAGAGAGAGGGGGATAGAGAAAGAGATATAGAGTGTGAGAGAGTTGGAGGGAGGGAGAGAGAGGGGGTAGAGAAAGAGATATAGAGAGGGAGGAAGGTAGAGAGAGGGGGATAGAGAAAGAGATATAGAGTGTGAAAGAGTGGGAGGGAGAGAGAGGGGGGGGGGGTAGAGAAAGAGATATAGAGTGTGAGAGAGTGGGAGGAAGGGAGAGAGAGGGGGTAGAGAAAGAGATATAGAGTGTGAGAGAGTGGGAGGGAGGGAGAGAGAGAGGGGGGTAGAGAAAGAGATATAGAGTGTGAGAGAGTGGGGGAGGGATGGAGAGAGAGGGGGGTAGAGAAAGAGATATAGAGTGTGAGAGAGTGGGAGGGAGAGAGAGGGGGGGGGGGTAGAGAAAGAGATATAGAGTGTGAGAGAGTGGGAGGGAGGGAGAGAGAGGGGGATAGAGAAAGAGATATAGAGTGTGAGAGAGTGGGAGGGAGGGAGAGAGAGAGGGGGGTAGAGAAAGAGATATAGAGTGTGAGAGAGTGGGGGAGGGAGAGAGAGAGAGAGGGGGTAGAGAAAGAGATATAGAGTGTGAAAGAGTGGGAGGGAGAGAGAGGGGGGGGGGTAGAGAAAGAGATATAGAGTGTGAGAGAGTGGGGGAGGGAGAGAGAGAGAGAGGGGGTAGAGAAAGAGATATAGAGTGTGAGAGAGGGGGAGGGAGAGGGAGAGGGAGGGGGGGGGGGGTAGAGAAAGAGATATAGAGTGTGAGAGAGTGGGAGGGAGAGAGAGGGGGGGGTAGAGAAAGAGATATAGAGTGTGAGAGAGTGGGAGGAAGGGAGAGAGAGGGGGTAGAGAAAGAGATATAGAGTGTGAGAGAGTTGGAGGGAGGGAGAGAGAGGGGGTAGAGAAAGAGATATAGAGTGGGAGGGAGGGAGAGAGAGGGGGATAGAGGGGGATAGAGAAAGAGATATAGAGTGTGAGAGAGTGGGAGGGAGGGAGAGAGAGGGGGTAGAGAAAGAGATATAGAGTGGGAGGGAGGGAGAGAGAGGGAGGGAGAGGGGGATAGAGAAAGAGATATAGAGTGTGAGAGAGTGGGAGGGAGGGAGAGAGAGGGGGTAGAGAAAGAGATATAGAGTGTGAGAGAGTGGGAGGGAGGGAGAGAGAGGGGGTAGAGAAAGAGATATAGAGTGTGAAAGAGTGGGAGGGAGAGAGAGGGGGATAGAGGGGGATAGAGAAAGAGATATAGAGTGTGAGAGAGTGGGAGGGAGGGAGAGAGAGGGGGTAGAGAAAGAGATATAGAGTGGGAGGGAGGGAGAGAGAGGGAGAGAGAGGGGGATAGAGAAAGAGATATAGAGTGTGAGAGAGTGGGGGAGGGAGAGAGAGAGAGAGGGGGTAGAGAAAGAGATATACAGTGTGAGAGAGTGGGAGGGAGAGAGAGGGAGGGGGGTAGAGGAAGAGATATAGAGTGTGAGAGAGTGGGAGGGAGGGAGAGAGAGGGGGGTAGAGAAAGAGATATAGAGTGGGAGGGAGGGAGAGAGAGGGGGGTAGAGAAAGAGATATAGAGTGGGAGGGAGGGAGAGAGAGGGGGGTAGAGAAAGAGATATACAGTGTGAGAGAGAGAGTGGGAGGGAGGGAGAGGGAGGGGGTAGAGGAAGAGATATAGAGTGTGAGAGTGTGAGAGAGAGTGGGAGGGAGAGGGGGTAGAGAAAGAGATATAGAGTGTGAGTGGGGGAGGGATAGAGTGTGAGTGGGGGAGGGAGAGAGAGAGAGAGGTTGTAGAGAAAGAGATATAGAGTGTGAGAGAGTGGGAGGGAGGGAGAGAGAGAGGTTGTAGAGAAAGAGATATAGAGTGTGAGAGAGTGGGAGGGAGGGAGAGGGAGGTGGTAGAGAAAGAGATATAGAGTGTGAGAGTGTGAGAGAGAGTGGGAGGGAGGGAGAGAGGGGGGGGGTAGAGAAAGAGATATAGAGTGTGAGAGAGTGGGGGAGGGAGAGAGAGGGGGTAGAGAAAGAGATATAGAGTGTGAGAGTGTGAGATAGTGGGAGGGATGGAGAGAGAGGGGGTAGAGAAAGAGATATAGAGTGTGAGAGAGTGGGGGAGGGAGAGAGAGGGGGTAGAGAAAGAGATATAGAGTGTGAGAGAGTAGGAGGGAGGGAGAGGGAGAAGGAGAGAGAGAGGGAGAGAAAGAGATATAGAGTGTGAGAGAGGGGGAGGGAGAGGGAGAGGGAGGGGGGTAGAGAAAGAGATATAGAGTGTGAGAGAGTGGGAGGGAGGGAGAGGGAGGGAGAGGGAAAGAGAGGGAGAGGGAGAGAGAGGGGGAGGGAGAGGGAGAGGGAGGGGGTAGAGAAAGAGATATAGAGTGTGAGAGAGTGGGAGGGAGGGTTAGGGAGAGAGAGGGGGAGGGAGGGAGGGAGGGAGAGAAAGAGATGTAGTGTGAGAGAGTGGGAGGGAGGGAGAGAGAGAGAGAGATGGGGGGGGGGAGGGTAGAGAAAGAGATAGTGTGAGAAATGAAAATAGGATGAGAATAAATTAGAAGACATGAAGAGTGAGGGAGAGAGAGAATTGTGGGAGACAAGAGAACTCAAGCGAACTCAATAGAACTAAAGAGGGCAGCAAACAAATCTTCAACAGACCTAAACTTGAAGTGGCTATAAATCATATCCATATCAAAATCTGATTAGGGAAATACCATAAAAAGCATTTTTTTTTTAAATTGGAAAAAATACATTTTAGAATTTAAGAGCTAGAGCCGATAAAAACATATAGCATGGACTTGAATAGATATTCTGCTCACATTAATTTTTGTGTGTAAGACAGTGCATACTTTCATGCATTCCTACCCAAACATTCAATTTTTGCACTTGAGTTTCACTGTGATAATCGTAAAAACAAATGAAGTTTGAAAGTAGCATTGGACTACTGGTAGCTGTATGTCAAATTCATTCAGTAATACATACATTCATTAGGCTATATAACATCCTTTCATACCCCTCTCATTATGAGATTACTTCAACCTTGAAATTGTTGATTCTTTATTTTTATGCATCAACCCACTTACCGTAACATTTATACTTATTTTAGAAACAAATAATTGCTTCATTAAAAGTAACCTAATTTAAGACAACCTTGCTGATCATGATCAGTCTTCCTTCTCCACCTTGTCAACCACACTCATCAACCCCACTCCCTTGAATGTTTCATGTACCCACGCTGCTTCACGTGTTACAAGTCAGCAGGCGAGTCATCAGACCTGTGCCTGCTTCACTCAAGTTAGTAGCTGTCATCAGATCCATACCTCTATACAGGGCTACTATGACAAACTGAGCTGAGAGAGACATATTGGAGCCCAAGATATTTTGTATGATATGAACAGTGGAAAAGTCTAAAAGAGAAAGTTGACAGTGTTTACAATTGAGCAACAGCTGAAAAACCAACAACTTTTATGACAGAGTAATACCACCATTGGTTATTAATCAACTTTACTCAAAGAATCTGTGAAGAGACATGGCAATGTTGGAGCCGAACATTTTCTGTATGCTCTGAAGAGTTGGAAAGCTTGAAATGGAGACATGAGTGCGTCTGGACTCTGATAATTCTTGGAAACTTTTAACCGTTCCTGAGAAATTCATGTCAGCAGTCAGTCAAAAAGTGAGTTGTCATCATTGGACCCACATGTCAGCACAGGGTTACAAGTCAACTTTACCCGATAAGCCTGCAAAGTGTCTCATACATGTTGTAAAGATTTTCTGAATGATGTGATGATTTGAAAAGCTTGAAACATAGATGTAGATAGCCAGAACTTGGGCCATTGCCCGAAAACTAACATATTTCCTGACAAACCCTAATAGTCAGACAGAGAATTTATCTGCACTCATTGGATTCATACTTCAAATACAAATACTACTCAACTTTACCCAATGAACCAGAATTTTTTTTTTGGAGCCTAACATTTTCTGTATGCTCTGAAGAGTTGGAAAGCTTGTGACAGAAACATGAGTGAGTCTGGACTCTGATACTTGCTGGAGACCTTTCATATTTCCTGAGAAATCAAAGATTTCAATCGGTCAGAGAGTGAGTTGCCATCATTGGATTTAAGCTCAAGCAGGAGTAATTATCAACTTTACCAATTGAGAAGGGAAACTCAGATGCGATACAAGGAGTAGAAAAGCTCTAAAGAGAGACATAGAGCCAAAACTCTGGCAATTTTTGGATAATTAACTTCTGACAAAACCAGGCCAGTAGTTGGTCAGAAAGCTGCATATAGTTACCATCATTGGATTTATACCTCTACTATACAAGGATACTATTCAACTTTAACCAAAGAGCATGATAAGAGACCCGGACATATTGGATCTCAACATTTGTTGTGTAATATGAAGATTGGAGGACCTGCAAGAAGAAGTGAGAGAGCCTGAACCCGAGTCAGAAAACTACCATTCTCACTGATTCATGAATCCAACCCAACGGTCGGTCAAGGAGATAGTTGCAATCATGTCTGTACAGGAGAACATCCCAACATACAAGCCAAGCCCATGGAGAAAAGGATTATATCAATCTGCATTCATCCACAATAACATGGAAGGTTAGTTACTTACTTATAATTTACATGCAGATAAGACATTATTTACATTGTCCACTCATGACCCATGTGAAAAATAATGGTGCCAAGTGGGAAAAAATATGTTGAATGGTTACAATACATCTCATTGTGGAACCTAAGTGAAAGCTTGAATTCAATTAGATTAAATTCGTATTAATTTCATTTCGAACAGAAAGATAAACAAAGATTTTTTTTTCTTTCTTTAACAAAAATAACTATTACAGAAAGTATGACAAAATAAATGTAAATATTCATTTTTACAGTATACAAATACACTGTACACATAAATCAATTATTAAAAGAAATTCTTAATTTCTGAGGAAATGACAGTATTCAGCCCTTTGTATTAAGAGCATTAAAGTACTGTAGAACTTCCACTTTCATCACGACATCAGGGAATAAAAATGCTGAGCTGAGTGTGAGATTCCAAAGAATCTGGCCTGACTGGACATAGCAAAACAATTTTAGCCTCATTCACACACAGTATGAAAAACCACCACCCCAAAAATTAACAACACAGCAGCCAAGTACAAACATCTAACATGTACACGAATGGAAGATGGAGAACAAAAAGTATTTGTGCAAAAGATACAGGTATAAGTGAAGCATGTTATGCTTATGTCATTATATAAGCAGCCAGGGCGGTGTTTCACAAAGACTATGATCGACTAAAGTTGGAACTTGGACTATGGCAGGCCATTCATGCCACTGGTTGCTATCGCCTACCGTAGTATAAGTCCAAGTCTTAAATATAATTAAAAGTTTAGAATGTAGGTAGCTTTTCTTCTTCAACAATGAATTATAAACAAATGTAAATTCTGTTGATTTGTTACGTCCCTTGAGAGACCAATGGTGAGAGCTACCAGTGGCATGAACGGCCTGCCATAGTTCAAGTCCAATTTGAGTCGATCTTAGTCTTTATGAAACACTGCCTGGTTTTCTCTTTCTTTTTGGAGGATAACCTCCTTGTGTGTGAACAAAGCCATCCATAGCCTGGGTAAGTCCTGAATCACGTTTATTAGCTATACAGGTAATCAGATCAGCCAGTAAGCCTCTCTATACCAAGGCTTACATTGGTAGAGATCTGGACCCAAGCCAGCTTGTTGGGAACCAATAATGAGAATAATCAGAACAATTTCCTGTCACAAAGACTTGCAGCTAGTATGATAACCATTCGCCAACTGGACAAAGAAAGATGAGTATGGGAAATATCATGCATACTTGTGCAGCTTTGCTAGATGTCATACTAAACCAACACATGTCATGTGTGTAATATGCTTCTCTTCCCATTTTCTCAGATTACTCTTGATTTTAGCCTGAGTCTGTACATTAAACTACAGATAGATCTAAATAAATTGAGCTAAATGCTATGAACTGGATTCATTTTCAAAAGTATCAATATCAAGAAATTTCTGTGAAGTAGTTTAGCATTTGTCGTCCCTACATAAAACAGGTTGCCATGTCTGTGAATGTCTTCATAACTGTCTTATTGTTGTTTTATGCAAAAACCTTAAGAAAGACTAATTATTGCACTCTAATACTTCTTATTTGAAACCAAACCAAACCAAAACCAGCCAAATCTTTTTTGAAAAATGGGCCATAACAACCAATATGTCACCTTGGAAGCAATGTGAGTAGATACTTAAATAATCCATCAATGACAATAAAGAAGAAGAACCAAACTAATTAACATACCAAATCATCTCCTTCCTCCTCTTTGATCTCAATTGCTTCTTGACCTATAAACGAAGCAAGGATAACTTTCAATAAATATTTCATCATTAAAATTTGATTATATGTACAGATCATAATAATAATCCAGCTTTATGTGTTTAATACATTGCCGATGTCATGACCTTTTTGACAGGAGGCATGATGGCTCAGTGGTAGAACAGAGGCCTATGACTAACTGGTTCTGGCTGAGAACCAAGTTGATGCACTAGTACCCTTTATCTCTAAGTCCTGCAGATAGGCAACATGGATACTACTGTCCTATCAGTTTTCTGTAGAGTGCAAGATTTGTACATTAATTAAATGCATTTGACTAGAAGTCCACAGAGTCTGGAATATGCAAACTGTTATGCACTGCACTATTACTCCCTAGAAGGCAATCAATCTAGATAGGTTTTTGAACAATTTTAGGCATATTTTGCAAAAAGGCTATAAGGAAGTCTTACCTTTCTTGGGTTTTCTTTTCTTGAGTTTTCTGTTCTCGCCATTCAGTTTTTTTGTTGGTTTTTGAACAAATGCCCATCTGGAATTTTGAAGAAATCTAAACCACAGGAGTTCCACCACATCCTATTTGAGAAAAAGAGAAGCAGAAGAAGAAATAAAAACGTTGATTACTGATCTTGATGAATGTATTTCCTACTCATTACTGCCCAGAACAAATCAAACATGCATTCTACACATCACCTGGCCTCTTTCTATCTGAAAATTTTGTGTTGGCTGTAGGGTACATGCTCTGGTGATAATTCTCGCTACGGTATATAGCAATATACATTCCCACAATGCAATGGTGATGCTAAAACACATGTTCTGCTATAATACGATTTGCTAATAACTAATTATTTCCAATTCTCAATCTTGCTTGATGGTTACAAATTTTGAAGAATTGACAAGCAGTAAGCATATTTATTAGTTAAAAGTAAAATACCAGCATTAAGCAATCTCCAGTGCTTAGAGAGATTCTCTTAGAAAAACCAGGGAGGTGAAAGAAAAGGAGGCGAAACTCTTGTAATTTATTCAAACGCGTTCTTGAGTTCTAAAGCGTAACAATGGGATGTGTAACATTCCACTTGGCTTTGAAGTTCCATGCTCCGAACCGCGCTTCCACTGCGGGGACTTTCGGAAGCCAGGCTCCAGTTTTACATTTATTACAAAATATTAAATTACCGGCAAAATTTCAGTGTAAATCAAAAACTTTATATGGGGATTTTATTGGGAATAGTGCATCATACAAATTTTCAAATTTAAAACTCCGTCCTTCCTTTAATTTGTGTGCCAGAGTTGGTAAAAGAAAAATTACATCCTGTCAAATACTCAATATTTTAGGATGATGCGCTAATTTGTGCATGCTTTAATGTCCCGTTATTTGATCCATGGTTTACAATCTTCAATAACATTAAGTTTGCTAATGCGTGTTTTCGCGTGTTTTTTTGTATTTTTCAAGTTTAAAAAAGGATGAAAGTACACAAGTTTGTGTTCGCTTGTTCTACTCTTTACACATTCAACAATGGATGAGAAATCATTGGAAGGGACAGCGAACAGTTGCAGTGATACCATTTTCTGATGTAGGAATTCTAACTCCTGAAATTTCATGCGCTCTTTTATCTCACCACCTGGTCAACAGTTGCAGATTAGCGCATAACTTTTCGGCGGCTTGGAGCATGGGGTCAAAGGAGAGCGGCTTGATTCCAGTCCTTCTCTATCACGTCCCTGGAAAAACCTGGCACGCTTTCCCTAAGCCATGATTGTGCACTATTGTCAGTAACTTTTAAGAAATTCCCGTTATATACAGCAGGGTCACATATTTGATGATACAGATGGTCTACATTTTTCATAAATTTACATAAGTAGATATTTAGGCAAAACTACATTCTCATTCTTAGTCCTATTGACAATAAAGTGTCAGCCCAATACTGTGTGGTCCGTTTAGACTGGAAGTTCATGTGACTACAATATCCCAGCAAATCTTCTGGTAAAAAAAAAAGAAGAACGCCATTTACATTGGCTTGAATTCAGCTATATGTAGAAGGGAAAATTGCTCTGTGGTTCTACACTAACCCAATTCCTAACTTCCATCCTGAACTTTAGACTTGACTTATCTCAATTTTAACTTCTAGTCCAACTGCTAGCCTAACCATATATATATATATATACAAGATTCTTAAAATTGTCCTTAACTCGAACTTAAACCCAACTGCTAGCCTAACCTGAACACTAAACAAGAATCTTAACTTACCTAAACTTTAACTTAAACCCAACTGCTAGCCTAACCTGAACACTAAACAAGAATCTTGACTTACCTTAACTCAACTTAAACCGAACTGCTAGCCTAACCTGAACACTATACAAGAATCTTAACTTACCTCAACTCCAACTTAAACCCAACTGCTAGCCTAACCTGAACTTTAGACTTAACTTACCTCAACTCTAACTTAAACCCAACTGCTAGCCTAACCTGAACACTAAACAAGAATCTTAACTTACCTCAACTCTAACTTAAACCCAACTGCTAGCCTAACCTGAACACTAAACAAGAATCTTAACTTATCTCAACTCTAACTTAAACCCAACTGCTAGCCTAACCTGAACACTTTAAAAGAATCTGCTACAAAATAAAGTCTGATGCAATCACTGGAAAATGAAGGTTGGAGCAGCCCCATGTTCCATATATTGCCCACCTTTACTCTTTTACTGCCTACACTCAGTGAGTCTAAACGTATTGCCAATGATCCATTTATTACTCGCCTTCAGCCTATCTTTAACTTCCTTGTTCATATACATGTATTGCTCACCTAAGGTCTTGTATTACCTACACACTGCACTCAGTCTATACGTCATACCAATTTCCTAATTATATCTCCACCTCCCATATTTTACAATGCCTATAGATACTCTGTCTATACATATACATAATACCAATGTCCTACTTATTGCCCACCTTGAGTCTGTCTGTAACTCCCATGTTGATAAGGGCATCGACTTGCTTCTTGAGGATTATCTGGAAGGCCTCAGCAAACCACACAATGTCATCTTCTTCTCTTGGTTGCTCAGGTGTCTCATCTACAAGGAAGAGGAGACAAGGACACGGACTTAATCAGGATAAACATGTTAAGAGTGCATTTAAGGAAATATGAGACTTGAGTTTGGTCAGGCAGACAATAATTTACATAATCATTTATATTATTATCATTATTTCCTTTATGCAAACAAACTGAAAGTTGGATTTGAAATACAATTGGAAATATAAAGAGATAGATAAAAAGATACAAACTTGAATGTTTGGAATGCTCAGGCGTTAACAACTTTTTATTGATGTGAGCTAAACGTCCTAACCCATAAATCCATCAGATTCTTTTGAATAAAGATATGTTACTATAGTAACAACAACTTATCAATCACATCTACAATGTATTTCATGTGAAACTGAAAGGGAGTGGTCAATGGTTCCAGTTATGTTGTAAGACAGCATAAGCATGTATTAATGGTTAGCTAATCTGTACTGCCTTATAAATCACATTCTAAATTTAAACACTTTTCTTAGTTTTAGTTTTAGTTTTGAATAGTTTTTACAAAGCATTCTTATTGGTAACTGCTTTATATGGGTAGCATATTAATAGATGTAGCTCATTTAAGAATGGATCATACTCTGAAGATCCCGAACTAGCAGTCACCTGAAAATCAGAAACATAGATTAGTCTCGGATATAAAAGCTTACGTACAGGATTGATAAAATATACAAAAATCCACAAGAAGAACAAACGAACACAGATTTTCAACTGATCTCACCTTTGTCAATAGGGGTCTGTTTTTTCGAAGTTGATGATATTTTGATGACTTTTGATCTCATACTTGACGACTGACTTGGTTGACTATCAAAATGAGAATACTCCATCACTTGCAGGGTCTGATAAAATGAGAACAAAAAAAAAAAACTAAATTAAAGCATCATTTGAATTTCTCTGTCCTTTATGAATATCTTCATTTTCTGGTGGTCAAAATATGAAGTGTAGGTAATACCCGGGGGATGTTTCACAAAGACTGAGAATAAGATCAACTTAAGTTGGACTAAAACTATGGCAGGCCATTCATATGCAACTGGTTGCTCTCACCACTGGTCTCTCAAATATGATCTTTACATGTAACTTGGCAGGTCTTATCTCGAGCATGCACTGAGTGATGAGTGGCTAGCTGTCATCTCAATTGACCTCAAAAGAATTTTCTTTATACATTTGTAGTCTGTATGCACACTCCTGTTGCTATACTGGTTTCTTTGTAAAAGTTTTGTATAAATTTCCTCAAGTATGAACAGGCCATTTGATTGTTTAAAATTGAAGACAAGACATATTTTCACAAAACAAAACCATAAGTCAAGAGTACACCAATCAAAATTTGATGTAAAATATTGTAATCCTCGACTTTGTGCTTGTCAGAGTCACTCATTAGCAGATAAGTCATTGAGAGTAAAATGTCATTGAACTAGTTTATCATTAATTATTTATACTATAGGGTCTAGATCTACTCTAAATTGTTGTTGTTAATCGTCCATCATTATCAGAATCTACTGGTATATCAGTAGGGGCGCTGGTCTGAGAATAAGGATCGTCTTCATAACCGAAGATTGTCTTTGTAAATGCGGACCAATGCGTCCTCAAAAACAAGGATCGTCTGCAAAAAAGCAGATGTTCCATATTTTTGATCGGCACATTGGCGATGCAAAAAACAGATTCCGGTATGATTTTCTTGATGCATTGTACATTGACTTTGTACACAGACCTTCACATTATGAGCAATAAATCCTTGGGAAGACGGACAACCCATAAAAGTAGACAGTCAACTAGGGTTATTTTCCCCTGGAGAATCCAAATTTGGCATTGCCAGCGGGCGGTTCGGCAACCCAAAACCCGCAGAGGGCCGATGAAAAAAAAACGCCAGCGAAAATGCAGATGATCCTTGTTTATGAGGACGCATTTTGTCTGCGTTTATGAGGATGATCCTCATTCTCGGACCAATGGTTTAGGAAGGTCGCATAATCAAAAGGATCTTGGGAATTACAGGCACACATGCTTGAATGGGTAAATGCATAGAAAGAGGCCTAGAGGCTAGACATACACACAATTATATTTATACTGCCACATACACATACTGCACATCATCAAGACATCATCATTTTGCATTACAACCACTACCAGTGACCTCGTCTGGAGAATCGAGAGAGAATAGCGATGGTGCACACACACACGGATCGTGGCCCCGTACCACCCCGCGAGCTACGGGGCGGAATTACCGTACCGTCTCACATGGCTCGATTATCTCTCGAGCTCCCCCAACCCGGCTATGTAACCAATAATGTAAGTTTATCAAGTTACCTCAGACTGACAGTCACACGCATTACAGTAAAACAGCCCATCGATTTCAGAAAAGTGGACAGTTTCCTGACAATTTTGACAGAAAGACTCCATGTTTATGAAGATTCCCACGGCCACAATGTCAAGTTACCACCATGCGTACCGCATTGGCATCCCTTTCATCAGCTGTGAATTAATCGCATTGCATTGCTGTACGGAAGTATATGAAGGAAGGCTTATTATTCGCGGAGTGTAGGTCAGAAATAATTAAAAAAAATATTAAACGTGTTTTTATCAAAAATTTATTATTAAATTATTTATATGTTTATAAAACCAAATAAAAAAGATAACATATTTAATTTAAGTCTTTTAATTTATTTCATATACAAGAATAAATTATGAGAACTAACCCATTACCCCTAAAATAAAATGAACTAGTCTCTAGAGTTTGGATGGTCTGCTGACCTTCGAAAGCTAGACTTTACAAAGTTCCGCAAGTTTGCATTTGTTTACGTTGATCGCTGATATACTTATAGTTCAGTGGAAGGGGTGTATACAACTGGTATATAGACATGTTGGGCGAGGATTAATTAGATGAACTTCCTCATTTGATCGATGCTGTCAGCAACTATGTCGTCGATAAAACCATCTCCACCAGCTCGGAAACAATCTTTAAAGGAAGGAAGCCCTACTCATTCTGCTAAAGACGTGAAAGAGATCAAAGAAGTGGCGAAGAAAGGTAATACTAATGTTGTATTTTGCATTTTAATTATGAAGATTTGTGGAGTTGGACTGGACAGGCATGCTGTGCTACCAGCGCGCTACCGGTGGTTCCCCGATTGGTGTCTCCAGCTTCCGCGTATGATCATGCGAGCTGGCCTAGTTTTGCACCTGCGTGTTTTACATTCTACTTCTCATTTTGATTTCTGAATTACAACAATATGTGTTTTGGTTCAATGTTCATCTATTGGAAAAGTATAGTGCCGATGTGTTGATATGTTTTGATTTGTTTATTTCGTTCATCAATTAATTGCCTTGCTCAGATTGTCAGATATTTGAATGGTTTTATACTTCACTCTGCCTCTGCTATCCACCTGTCAGTCAAATTCTGCCTGTTGACTTACATGCTCATCAAATAAATCCATAGCATTAATTAGTTTGCAATTGTACATGTATTTTCTGTCTGTTATTTACATGTATGCAAAATGATCATTGAGCTAGTAGGCATATGGTATAGCATATGTCTAGTCATAAACAGAAATATACCATCTAGTTTGAGGATAATGACATTTGTCAAAAATAAAAAAGGCGCTGAGTGGAGCCAGATGTAGTCTCAGGCTCTCAGCGGAACAACCGGCAATATTTAAGACTGATGTTTTCAGTCTAGTCTACCTGTCAATGAGCATCATTCACAAACTTTGATCTATCAATAGAAGGTTGTTTTAAATCATTATTATTTATTACTCAAGAGAAGAACATTGTGAAACAGATATTTCAGATACTAAGGAATGGTTTATAATTTTAATGTCCAAAATTGTAAAAGTTAATTAAACTTGAAAGGATGGAAATGTTGATCTCAACCAAGCTTACTATCAGTATGTTCCAATTTGTGTAACAATACATTTTTGTGTATTTTTTATGATCATTATATAATGTTTCTCATTCTATACACTGTAGTTATAGTTTAGTGCATTCTTCATTAAACATGTAATCTCTACTTATTACGTATTTCACTTTGCTTTTTACAATAGAGGTGATTTTGAAAGAAGAAATATTTATTATAATTTCTTTTACAGAATAACACAAGGTTGAATTAATATACGTGTAGGATGAGGACTGACATGATTTTGAATATATCCAGTTCTATCAGACATATCTTTTGTAAACCAGTGCAAAATTGTCCCCATTGCAGGCTCATATCCTACTTGAATTTATCTTGTTGAGAATAATACAAACTTTGTCATCTACTGTACATCAGGAAGCTTTCATGTTTTCAGTGTGCTCATCTACCTACACCCATCAAACAATGGGGAATGAAATCTATCTGACATTTTAAACCAAACTTCCTGAAATATCAAGTGATAAAAAGATTGAATACCCATTTTTGTTATTGAGATTGCGTTGTCCAATAGAAGGGTAAACAAACTACTAACTGCCCTTGCTTTCATAGTTCAGGGTGTTATGTTTGCCTGTATTACATCAGCACCCTTGTTTACTCAGAAACTTTAGTTCATGACATATTCATATGTAGAGGGTCTACAGTCAAAGTGAGGGCATCACAAGACCATTTTTAATGGGGGCGCGGGTTGGGGGGGGGGGGGGGGGGAGGGATGTCAGTCCAAAAGACAAAAGACGTATTTGGAATTTCAAATTTGCTGACCAATCAAGACCAATCATCAGATTTCACAGGTTTCATATTTACTGAAGACTCTTGCGTTGAGGGTGTGTATTTTTAAAATAGAACATGATACCGGGTATTCAAATGTGGTATGACTACCATACTTTTGAATGTTTTGACCTAGCTCATACAGAGAGTACAGGGAACATGTTGATTATCTCTTTGTTTGGTGTAAGGGTGATGTTGGATGAATCCCCTTTCAGTGTTGCCATTAATTCACATATCATGAATCCTTCACTTGCATATGAGTCTTCATAATATTTATATGCAATTTGAATTAATCATTCTGTTTTTTGTGTTTTTTATATTCATTTGACTACTATCAGTCTGTTTTGATATGATGACAGGTTTGGATTCTTTGTGTACTCCGCAGAGCATGTCTTTTAAAGATTAGAATTCATTTTGGTTTCTCATGGTAAATGTACATGCAAATTGGTCTCATAAAAGTTATTTAATGACATTTTTATTACAGAGCTACGAAGAGAAAGAGAGAGAGTTTTGTTTTGAAACAGAAACACCTCATATAACTGAGCACTAGCAAAGAATACCCAATCTTCTTAAATCACATATGAATACTTTCACCTTCATATAAAAAAGAATGAGTAATTACAGTATGAAAGAAATATCTTTAGGCGTGGGAAGTTATTAGTTCTTAATGGCTTTTATTATGTCTTTTTCATAATAAAATACATAAACTAAGTTAATACATGTATGTTATGAACTCTTACGCTATAAAAAAAAAAATCCTGTTTGTTCTCAGTATTGATTATAATTCTCTATCTTTTTCTATTTCCGCAAAGAAATATATTCCTGTGACGTGTTTAACATCCTTTTCTTGTTTTTGCTAAACAACGAATCTTTAATAAGTTCATCTTTGTGTGTTCTTTTACAGCCATTAAAGAACATCAAGAACTTCAAAGGCAATACAGTCAGAAGGAAATACAGACACTGCAACTAGTACAAGAACTTGAAGAAACCAAAGATATCTTATCCAAACTTGAATCAGGTATGTCATTCATCAATTCTGTTTTCTTTAACAAAAATTTGCAAATATGTGGTGCTGCATGTGATCTGGTTCATTCACTTGACTCACAATTGAAGGATTGAGGGTTTGAATCCCAGCCAAACATTAATGTTTTTTTGGCGAAACATTAATCCACATTTGCCACTCTCCACCCAGGTGTGATGGGAACCTGGCAATTGGTGGGGTAATTCAAGATTCAAGATTCAAGATTCAAGATTTTATTGTCCATAATATAATACAGAAATTTGTTTTCCATTGGTATAAAATGTAATACATAAAACATAAGACAAAAACATGGTGTCGTGTGCTGAAAGCCAGAAGGGCGTCAAGACTATATAAGAAAAAGTCTACAAGCAAATACGGTCCTCTGGCTTCCAGCACAAAACATGACAAGACAGTTATATGACTTATACATAGCAAGAATTTTAAATACAATTCTGAAACACATCATGAATAAATTCAGGTATGAATATAGATGTGAATATGAAAGTAGAATAGGAGCAGCATCACAATCGAAATACGAGCAGAAAGAGAAAGGAAAAGAGAGCTCAAGCTCGAAGGACTGATAAAAAAGAGAAATATAGGGAGAGTTGGTAAGGGTCCAAAGGGAAAGGGGAGAGATAGAGAAGGAGAGATGGCATAATTTCCAATCACATAATGATTGCAGGACCCTCAGGAAGAACAGCATTGATACTGATGAGGCCTCATGGGTTAACAAACTATTATTACTAGTATAGTAGTATTATATGCTCAATTAATGGTAGTGCATGGTTGAATTCTCCAGTAAGGAAACGAAAGAGATATAAAAGAGATGTGCAGACCTCAGTAATCCACATCAAATAATCACATGCTAGTTACCTGTCGATCATAATGAAGTGAAAACAGTCATGATAGAAAAGTACTTTATTACATGTCATCACAATAATAACCCAGACAAAGTTGTGAAATACAATTACCTATATTAGCATTTTCTTGATCTACAATTTCAAAGTTTTACACTATGCAATTTTAAATGAATACATGTATGTTCAGCATCTATCCTTAAACTGGATACAAGGATGATTTGTTAAGATAAGGTATTAAGAAGAGAATGTGCTTTGTTCTATGTCCATATAATGAACGTGAATGAAGAAGTTACCAAAGATTTGGTTATCTTCTATTGTTTTCATTGTCAAGTTAAGTACTTTCATTTTGGTATTCTATGCCAAAGATAATGTTACAATCTTTAATTTTTATCTATATCCTGGTTCTTTAATTAGCATGGTTTCCATGGTAGCACTTATTCATTAAGTGTTTTTTTTAAAGGCAAATGAAAGGATGCCCTTTATAAAAACTTGACGGAAATGATATCACTTTTACAAGTACTTCCCATAAGGGATGCTTTGGAATCTAACACAAAGCAAAATAGACAAAGGAATTATATGAAAAAGCCAGGCATATACTCAACCCATTGCATACATCGTTCACCAAACCTCCTTTGGTATTTCCGATGGTTTATCTATGGCATTTTTACGCTTATCTTCTTTTATGTACAAGGTTTTGTTGACCCCCAGGAATAATGGGTAGAATTAGACATCTTTGCAGCTGGGAATTTGCATTTTTCTTAGTGATCTGATTTGTTTTTATTTTGAAGGGGAAAGTCCCCTATTAACAATTATATTTGCTTATATAGCGCCTAACACTTACTTTATCAGAAGTCTCTAAGCGCTCTACAATAATGCAGCATAATTACCCTGGCTTTAGCAGTGCAGTGTCTTCAGATGATTAAACAACCAGTTGATAACTGAATTCTGTAATTCCCTTTTAAGTATTTATACTTCTAGTAACATACTTTATTGAAGATTATAATCATTCTTATTTATTGATCATTAGAGATAATATATAATGATAAGACAAAGACAAACAAAAAGTGAACTTTTTTAGATACATCCTGGCACTGGCAGATCCAAGATACTTGGGGGGGGGGGGAGCGAAAGCACAAGTAAACAAAATGTCTGACTAGCAAATAATGAATGGCTGTCATACTTTTAGTCCAAAAATGTATCTAAGGAGGCACACGAACAAAAATGACCTATGCACATTTAAAGATATTTCAATGCTTGTGTAGGAGTAGATATACATATCATTTGTGCCATCCTTCACCCTCCCCATTCTACCACCGAAACACAGCACTTAGATAAGAAACCATTGTTGCACAGGTGTTTGCACAGCTATAGTTCTGTGGACCAGGTCATATTGATCTAGTACAAGCATTCTCCATACTCTGTATCCTTGATTGGTTCTCATGCTGGGATAGACAGTAAACATTGTCAGTTGTCGGATTCAAGGGAAACCCCCTTTTTTCTGAATAAGGACCAGTCTCCAAAAATTGTATGATGCAGTCGTTTCACTCTTTATGATTTGGATGCAATCGCAGTATACTAAAAAATAAAAAGGAGCTAGATGTAAAACCAGAGCACTTTGGAATCATATAAAGACACTATGAATATGCATTTTAAATAAAACAGAATATATTTACTATTGTCATTACCTGTAAGGCTGCAGCATCATCATTATTATCGCTATTGTTTTTATTATCTTGTCTTGCGGACTATCTTATTAACTGCTTAGTATCAAGTAAAGAGGTGCAGAATTATGTACACACAGACAGAATTACATATTGCGCAAAAATTAATGCAGACCCAAGTTCTTATTAGTCTTGTTTACTTTCTTGCGTCATGTTTAGTGTTGTATTTAATTTCTTGCTTTATGTTTATTGTTTTGTTTACTTTCTTGTTTCATGTTTATTGTTTATTTATTCACCTTATTTACTACCTACAATGTAGCATCTGGTCAGGTCGTGCAAGAGTATGAAGATGTACAGACCAAGTTGGATATTGAGCAGCAATGCAGAGAAGAAGCAGAGAAGATTGCCTCAAAGGTAGGATTCATTCAATTTGGTTCTGTCTTTCTGAGGACACATATATCTCTAATTTCATCAACTTTCAGAATGAGAAATAAATTTGTTGTCATTATTTTACACAAAAATAAAAGTTTGGTAAATGAGGGTTATTATGTGTCTGCATGGCTACCTTTGTGAATTGATATGCCCTACTTTCATGTTTTTCCCTCACTTATTCAGTTGTGTTTTGATTGAGTAAAACATTACCAAGTTGCATGGGCATAACAATAATTGTTCAAAATTGGTTACACACATAATTGGCTTCATGTTGGGCAGGCTTTGAACCAGATTTCTGTTGCAGTTTGTTTTTCCTTGACATAGCATAATTCCATTCCATAAAATGAAATATAGGGGAAATATTAAAAACAGAGTCTATACAGTTACATTATATAATTGGCACAACCTTGTGAGCAGCATGATCTTTTAAGATTTCACATTTTCAGGTTTTTTTTTGTCATATCCATTTAATTCTTCATTTTTTATATTGTCAAATTAATATGTGTTGTTGGAATTTCTCAAGAACAAGTTCAGATTGAACAAATTATGTAGTATATAGCTTTGACATCTGGATGTTAAAGATAAACTTGAGTTCTGGTAAAAAAATTAAATGAATTCTCACAGAATCTAACGAAACTTACACTGAATGTTCAAGATTACAAATAAATGTTATGTGTCAAACAATTTTAAACGACCAGAACTCACCTTTGTCTTTAACTGTGAATATAAACTCTCATACAAGGAAGTAGCATTTGGTTTCTATTCATGAAAAAAGATAACATCAAAGTCTTAGAAAAGAGATATGAAAGGAAGTTATTGGAAATGGAAAATAGAACAGGGAAATACCACACAACTTATTCAGAATAATGAGTTCATCAATATTCAGGTATTAAGTAAGCACTTTTGTTTCCCTTTTCACTACTGATATCATTACTTTCAAGTTCCTGTTTTTTTTTTCTGGTGAAATCAAAACAATTCTGAAATACTTCGGAAGAAAAGAAATATTATCATTGGAAAATAATATGATATTACATAGTGGCATAGTTTATTATGACTGTTAATTGTCCCATTGTTTTATCTTTAGGCAAGTATACTAGATTTCAGAACTTTGATCTTTGAGTAAATTGATCTGATTAGAGTAATCCACACTTGAATGGGAGCCACATATTTAGGAATCTGTTTTTTAAAGCCTTTATCAACATTCTTATGTTTCAGTAATGTCATGTTTTAAAGCTAATCTTGTTGCAGTAGAGGAGTGTATATGTGTGTGAGGGTGTACACACAAGGTGAGGGTATGTGTGTAGAGGATAAATATGTGCATTAGATCTACCTGTATTGTCTGCTAACTCTGTGATAAAGACTTAAAGTGTATGAGCTAATGCTCTTTTGGCTTCTAACATGTAGACGATATCGTTGTCAATACATGTACGTACTTTTTGAATGTGTGCACGTATTATTATAAATGACTGTATCACAGAACTTTTACAATACCTCTGATAATAAATATTGGACTTTGATCAAAAATTGTTTTAAAGTATTCAAACTTGCTCATTAAATCCAAGGCTGCAGTAGAAAATACCTAATAAATACGACGAATGATAGTGCAGAATTAATGCTGATATGTTTACTCAGAATATATTTTAAAGGCATGGTTTCCTTCCTGCATGACCCAATTCCCAATTAGTGATTCAAATGTTCATCAAAAAAATGCATTGTTTAGTTGACATTGCAGTGTCCTGTTATTGGTCATATTGTCTGATGAGCAAGTTATTATTAGGCTGTTCAAGGTAGAAAAGTAGTATTGTACATGTACATGTATTTGTCTAATGTTGTATAGACAGCGTGAGGTAATAGCTCCCTCTTTTGATGGGTTGGATGTTATTCTTCATCTGTATCATTACTTTCAGGTTTGACACAGTCTTGGAAATTGTCTCAGTATTAAATGAATACGGTATTTTTATTGGAATATTGACATTAACTTTTAATGCTATGTGAAGTGATTTAGAGGATGTTTTGAACTTTGGATATTATAGAATACTTTTCTTTTTCATTTTGTCCTTTGTGTCAAAGATGGCAAAACCTGCCGAGATTATCAATGTTTTGCTGAACATTCTACCATTCTTTTTGTGTGTGTTAGAACTTAAAATGAAAAATAGCGAAATATAGAAATCAAACAAAGATTTAAGATTTCTCACTCTTGAAAATTTCTTTAGGATCAATATTGTCAATCCTAGTGGCAGAGAAGGGAAAAGGTTTTCATTGTGTGTGTGTGTGTTTGTGTGGATGTGTTGGGGGAGCTCTTTTGTGATTGTCTTTGAAACATTGACTTTGAGAATTACAATTACAATCTATTTTTAAATTCTAATACAATAATACAAATCCCTGCTATTACACTTATGTTCTTTGACAAGACATTAATCCACATTAGATGAAACATTTCTGGGGGTATTAATTGCGTGATATGCAACCTCAGGAAAAAGGGCTCCACAAATTCAACTATATAGGCCTTTTAATGTGATCATAACATATTAATCCTACATTCACAATCTTATGTACTTACATTGAAATCATTCTGAATAAAAAAAAATGGCTCGCCATTCTGTACTAGCTCACGTGCTGAGCTGTTTATCTTCCCGATTCTGCTGTAGCAAATATCCGTTTTCTCACACTACAGGAAAACAGATTCAATCTCCCCACTTTACAAATGTTTTATGAATTTACATACAATTTTATAGACTGTTCACTTTTGTGTGATTGTGCTTGATTTCCTATGAAACTATGAATTATGATTTAATAATGCCAATATACATTGCCAAGGGAAAACTGCCAAGAACAGCTGGGATTGATGATCCCCTCCCATTGTAAAGTTGCATGAGGAGGATAGGGAGATCTATGCCAGTCAAATCCTCTGTGATTCTGTACAAACTTCTGGTTTCTATTGCAATAGATATCATTTTAAGTTCTTCCAGACCCATACACTACTATCACAGTTTGCCTTTAGAAGTCAGATATTGATAGAGGTTTGAAAGAGGTTTTGAAAGTATGTATATCTACAGAGAAGAAAGGTATTATGAAAGAGGAGAATTATATATTTTTTGAGAAATGATTTTTGTTTTTGTTTTTGTGTGGAATTTATTTTGAGAGAGGGGATTGACATTGGAGCTTCCAATATGTAACTTATGAAAAGGCTGTCATCAGTTGAATGCTTTAAGCTTAGTAGCACTTTAGCTCATATGGAAGTGATCAAGTTAATACCATTTATATCTCAAGGAAGTATAGGATTTGTTGTAGCAATGCTGCATGTGAAAGGTTGCTTGTGAAAGATATTGGAGTAGAGAACAGGTTCTTTACATAAGTAGTTTGACAGGGTTTCTCACAAACATTCTTGTCTGGAGGGACATATTGGAGGTCTGTTTAAATAGTAATGAAAGGAATGGACTCCTGTAAATGTTTGAAATATGTCTGGGGTCCATTGACTAATTGTAATTATCGGGAGAGAGCGAGAGAAAGAGAGAGAAAGAGAGAGAAAAAAGATAGAGACAGAGAGAGGGGACGGAGGGAGGGAGAGAGGGAGGGAGGGAGGCAGGGTGGGAAGCAGGGAGGCAGGCTGGGAAAGAGAGAGAGTGAGAGGGAGAGAGAGAGAGAGAGAAAGAGAGAGTGGAATATGTAAATAATTAGAGGTTAATAATTTTGTGTGTATGCATTATGGCGGTAACTGATTGGATAATTGTCACTCCTGTCATATTGGTTTCCTGTAGACTAATCACATTACTCTGGTAAGGTCATGACACTGACATATCATCTTACTTCACACCTAGCTTCAAGACTTCTCAGCATATTACATCATCTATTGTATCCTGTATCTCATCATTATTAATATATCATGGGTTAATTATACAAATAATTAATGTTTGCAAGTGCGTTATTATGCATACAGGTTAAGTCAGAATCTGGAAATTTGTTTATCAGTTTGCTGATTTCATAGATGGTATTAGGGGAGATTAAATTCTTTCACAAGTTATGAGAGTCCAGTCATTTCTGTTTTTGTTCTGAGGTGAGAATAATATGATTTATTCTGTTTGAATACCTTTTGAGTTTAGCAAAGCATGCGTTTTCTATGGATTCTATACCCTAGTTGTCTAGCATACAGTGGGTTAACCAATTCACCTGTTTCAATATAACATTAACATTGACGCCATGTTAATGTAGTGCAGATTATAGAGATTAGCTCCCCAGGGTCTTCTAATAATCCCAAACATAGGATCAGTACCGGTAAGTGTTAGATGGAGGGTTCCGTAATGTATCCGTTAAAGGGGGAATGATGGGTGTTCTACCAGACTAACCAAGTTCTACATCAGAATCAGATTCTTTGGTTCTTTGGAAACATATGATATCCCAAGATATTGGATTCAAGTGATGTTTTCATCTAAATCAGGTTATTTTATTGTGCTCTCTCAAGAGACATTGAAGAGACATTGAAGAGACATTGAAGAAACATTGAAGAGACATCATCTTGAATAGGGAAATGATATATGAATTCATATACAAATGAATTGCCTAATAAATACGTAAGACCTCTAGTCCATCATGACATCAGGTTCATATTTGTTTCTTTAGCCATGCTCTTATCTTGTTGAGAGGGGGAAGTACCAGTTGGAAAGCTTGGAAGTTTTCTCAATGTGATTTGTGATAAGTACTTTTATCAGTGAAAATCGCAGCCAATTGTTTCAGGTGAACTAGTATATTTTGTATAGAAATGATGCCTACCACATCGTACTGCTTGCATAATGCTCCTATTAAACCTGAATAACAATTGTTTCCATTTTGGCAGCAACACATAAATACATTCATGAAAGCCTATTGTTCCTGTTCTCTTTCAGTAGCTGGCATTACCTCTTACAATGAATAGGTTGATAGGTCATTAAGTAATTCATTAAATTAATTGTCTCTTTCCTGCGAAGAGATATAAATGACCAGCCATAAATACAATTCATTTTTGGATGGAAACAAATTTGTTTAGATGGCGTGGAAACATATGTGCAGTCATTGTGTTTAATCACTACGAGGTGTTTCACAACACGGCTAATCGTACAATTATGGAAAGCAATTTATAATGACTTCCATGAGACACTTCAACACGCTACGATGTATGATGATCAATATGGGATTTAATTGTGTTTAATGGCTCTCGTTCATGCTAATCAGGATTCTTTGTGGTATCTTTCCAGTGGTGAGTATTTAATTTTGATAGGTAGATGAAGATGTCATATATTTGAGTGATTTGAACACTTTACTTACTTGAGGAAAGTCTGGATGTACCCAAGAGAAACATGGGGCAAGGTCTAGGATGATGAAAGCCATTGTGAAAGTTAATGCCAATTTTGTTTTTGTTGCCATACTGTATATCTTTTTGATGACCATATCCTTAGCGAGTGAAGATGGTGCACATGAATCAGATAACCCCAGAAATAGGCCTACTATGTGTAAAATAGTTATAGACATTATCATCTGTTAAGGATCAGAAGGGCATTATGTTATTTAGTTTAACACAAACTTAACACCCTTCTTCCTCCAAACAGACAGTATGCACATTATGATGATAATGGCC